TTTATCCACAGTCTAAACCACTAAAAACATATCTCACTCGGAACTTTTTTATGTGCAATTTTTGTGGTTAGATTGTTTTTCTCATTTTGTCCTAGAAAACACACTCTTATTAACAGTATGACATTGCTACATTTTGTCAATGTTGTGTACCATAATTATATTCTATCAGTGTTTCTTGCATAATGAATTTCAGGTTTTATTACGTAATGTTTTGAAGATATTTTTGTTTATTATTCTGCACGAGTTTGCAAAAGGTGGCTGTTAAATATCGCAATTGTCCCTACATGTGAACCCAAAATTGATGTTAGTTTAACCTCAAAGGTCATAAAGAGAATTTTTACCACACAGTTTAAACCAAAAATATGTCTTTAAGGATTAACATTCCAATGCACAATTTATAGTTTAAAAAAATAGTTATTTACTGGGTAAAATATGGGAGAAAAAACAACTACTACCAATAACATTTAAAATCAAATATGCTTTAAAACAAAAGAAAATTGACATAATGCGATTTGCAGTCTGTTAATTGTTCATTAATATTAATTACTAACTGTTGTCACACTTTCTGCATCAAATTAACACAAATCAACTTGTTTCTCCATCAGCCCTTCAGACACCTAGGCAAGTATCCAAATCACATGAAAGAACTGGAGCGGCACCTTGAGGTACAGTTTACGCAGTAATAGAGTAATTACCAGTGTCACAGGTAGTGTTGCTGTGAAATTAGTGAAAAAGAAAAGCGGTCAATGGTCACATTGCTAAATACCAGAGCTAAGGTCAACAACAGATGAATTCTGGTTGATATTGATTTGACAGTGCCAAAGGTGTTGTCTTATTCAGATGTGTTTGCCATATTTGATATTTTATTTTCCCTTGAGCTGTTCAGCTTTTGTGCATTTTAACAATTTCTTAATCAGTCAAGTTTCTCAAAAAAAAATCTTTAAGCTGTAATGCTCAGGAAAAAACTGTGAACTGTGATCAAGAATTTTAAAAGAACTATCTCTATTCTTGTTTCATAAAAAGAGCTAAGAATAGTAAGGTATGTCCTAGAATCTCTTCAGAATTTTTTTTGCAGGGATTTAGAGTTAATCATCTTTTAAAAGCCAGCTTAAACTTTGACTTCTATTGTTTCTTTTACTGCAGGAAGGGCATGTAGACGAATTAGACACTAAGAAGGCAATAGCTGTGTTTCAGAATTTGACTGTATGTATAATTATACACATACCTTTTGTTTGTTAAATTGTAATTAACTTGCATCAACTCAGTTTTGTGCCACATGACATTATGTAGAATGAAATCTTTTTAACTGCGTGAGGACATTAATGAGTATTGCTGCTGTGTTTGCATGACCCATTGTTGTCTTCATGTGTTATTATCTT